CAAACGAACCCATCTTCATGGTTCTCTTCTTTACTCCTCATTTTGATTGCTATTCACTACACTAGTAAGGAGGGTCTTTGCTGTTCACCAGCGGGTATGGGGTACGGTATAACCTCACATTTACTCGGTGAACTGATTTCCCCTTCTGGCGCACAGTCCGAATCACCCGTCACACTCGTCGCCCGTCTAAAACGGCATGTCTGAACACCGTGCGACACTGACCAGACGATCAACGCGAAAAGAATATATCTCAACCGATCACTCTTCTACACCATTCGTATTTGTCCGACGTGAGGCAAACAGGAAACTCCTTCAACTTTATTATGATGGGCCCTTCAAGGCTATCGGACGTCATTCCAAATAGCTCTTTTTTAGAAAGAAGCGGAAAGCGTGATATCATCTCCACTGATCGTCTGAAGCCTGCCTTCATTGAAATATCCACGAACACATCTGGTAATCCTGCTATCCCACCAGCACCCGCACCTACCCAAGATGCACCTGCCGCCAACCTCACTCATTCCACTAGTCGTTCCGGACGGCGCGTTCGTTTTCTACAACACTTAGCTGATTACGAAGCCTGAAGTGGGCAACTTTTGATTAATTACTTCAATTATTCGAGCGCTTTCCCCTTTCATGGTCAACGCTATAGTTGGCGGGTAGCGAATTTTTGTGCCTTTATTTTGCTCCCATTATAAAACCACTATTTCGTCAATTGCACAACCGTTTTTTGTTTGATTACGAAAAACTAAATAACAGTCACTTGTATATTTTACGCAATACAAATGTGGTCACGCGCTTCGATTCTCTCTTCTGATTTCGCCCGCGCTTACAGCGGTCATCCACGAGTCTTATTGCTGACTCTGGAATTAAAACACTTCAGACTATCTTCGGAATCTATTATGCGTAAGAACTGCTCAGAAGACGACTGAAAAACCATAATCGGGTTATTTTTCACCCGCTAGCCTGGGCCAACAACGAACTACCCAGTTAGCACTGGCGCGGAAATTTCTGCAGAATGTCTGGACACGGATGCGGACATTTCCGCACAGTGCAGCAGATTTCTGCATTGGTGCGGAAATGAAACAAATTTCCGCACCCACTCCGCACACGGATACGGAAATAGTGCAGACGTTTCCGCACCCATTCCGCACTAAGCTAAAGCTGTATGACGCGCGAATGCAACCCACTATACGCAATCATCTACTTCCCTATTTCAATTCAGTAACCTCCTAAACACTGCACTCCCATGCCGTGATGACCCACCTGTCCTCACACACTTGCTCAACGTATTACCTTCCCGGATATCAATAAGCGCCTTCAAATGTTTGAATGAATGAATTTTTAAAATAATACAGAAGAAAATCATTTGTCACTCTTGGTGGCTCTCAGCAGGCGCTTCCGAAGTTTCTGCCGTTCTCCAGCCAGACCTTCCCGGATATCAATAAGCGCCTTCAAATGTTTTTATGAATGAATTTTTAAAATAATACAGAAGAAAATCATTTGTCACTCTTGGTGGCTCTCAGCAGGCGCTTCCGAAGTTTCTGCCGTTCATCCTCCAGCCAGCGACGAACGATTTCCTTTATTTGTCGCAGATTTGTGTTCAGAAACTCAGTTGTGGCATCTGTATTGAAGAACATAGTTATTGAGTTTCATCCAAACACTGATTCAACTAGCTAAATATAAAATAACCATTAAATACTTACAAATAAGTCCTTGGGCCAGCCTGGTTGACCCGAAGGCTTCTTTTCATTTATTCGCGCCAATTGAGTAGTACGACTAGCCTTAGTACCAACGTCCGTGTAAGCACGTTGGTAACGTACATTTGTACATCGCCGGCATCCTGCAAGAGCCACCTTTCCACCTTTGTAAAATCAATAATCGTAAATAAAAATAATACTTACCAGCTGTGCATAGCGCGGACCATCTCTTAAATAATCTTCATACTTTCGGAGATCATCCATGGATGACAGCGGAAGATGGGGTTCGTCGAGCGCCTGAGAACTGCTTATGGGTACTAAAGCGTCCATCAACGTTCATTTGAATATCGATATTTGTAGCCCTAGTGTGAACCTCACGGAGCTGTTGCAGCAAACCTACTCTCAACCCAAGGTGTTTGTACATCCCATCCGGCCTTCTGTCGCACGCTGAGACGACGGGGAGTTTTCATTACGGTCCGTGGATCCTTCGGAAGAGACGGGAAAAAAGTATCTGAGTTCGTCCAACACAACGGCGAAACTGGACAAAGGTAGGTTCATCATCCGCGCCGTTCGACGAACAGCCGTTAAAATACTTCTAACTGGTTGTGAATGGTTTAAAAAGGATAATGATGAAAAGCAATATAAGTGTAAGCGGAACATACCGGCTGGTCCTTTCAAAGATTTGCAGTGGGCTACCTTATGGCAAAAAGCAGGAACCGAAAGGTTCTCCTGGGACCGTGGTGGTGAATCTCTTTCTGGTTCCAAAGTCCTGAAAGCAGTGATCGAGGAAACCGCCGGCGAACACCGCGGTAACTCACAGCCTAGTTTATCCTCTGGGACGGTATAATGCGGCGTATCTAGAACCTATCATCTGATTAATTGTGAATCCTACCCTCTGAGATTCGACTAGAAGAATTATGAATGCGTTCATCAGTCGGGCAACGAAAACAACCACTTGCCGCAATCACCTGTCGTACTTTCCTATATAACGTTGTTCTTGAAGAGCCTTTACGAGCAACACGAACGAATTTCAAGCTTGAAATGAAAAATATTTCTTACGGTTTTGTTCACGTAAACACGCCAGGAATAAAGCATATTAAGGCACAACAAAACTCACTCTCGGCCGCACGTGAGGGACAAGCGGAACGCAAAGCTTCCCGCTAGCGACTGCGCCGCACACCAAAACAAAACCACTTAAATCGGTCAACAGTTTGCATTTAGTAGGCACCCGGAAATGTAGGGTATTGTTTTTTATTACTGTGAGACAAATAAAGAAGTTTCGATGCTTATTAAACGTCTCAATCTGCCGCGGCTTTAAGGCCGACAATTAGTGCAGAAGTTCTGCACAGATTCCACGCAGGTTCTGCACCCAGGAGCCGACGCGTGCTAACTGGGTATTTTAAAGAGAACAATTATTAGTGGGTCTGTTCCATCTGACCTCTTTATTATTGTATACTCAATCCAGCGTTATTATTATTATTATTATTATTATTATTATTATTCCTTTGCCACACACTCCCCTTAAAGTAACTTATTGGGTAGCCAGACCATTACAATTGAGAATATATTGAACACTGACGTGGCGTCATGTGCAACCGGGGACGGGTTGCTTAGAAAGCCCACGTTAAGAGCTCCAGGTGAACCATGAAATTATATTTAAAGGAGAACTCATCTGTCAGGGCAATCGAGACGACGGGGAGTTTTCATTACGGTCCGTGGATCCTTCGGAAGAGACGGGAAAAAAGTATCTGAGTTCGTCCAACACAACGGCGAAACTGGACAAAGGTAGGTTCATCATCCGCGCCGTTCGACGAACAGCCGTTAAAATACTTCTAACTGGTTGTGAATGGTTTAAAAAGGATAATGATGAGAAGCAATATAAGTGTAAGCGGAACATACCGGCTGGTCCTTTCAAAGATTTGCAGTGGGCTACCTTATGGCAAAAAGCAGGAACCGAAAGGTTCTCCTGGGACCGTGGTGGTGAATCTCTTTCTGGTTCCAAAGTCCTGAAAGCAGTGATCGAGGAAACCGCCGGCGAACACCGCGGTAACTCACAGCCTAGTTTATCCTCTGGGACGGTATAATGCGGCGTATCTAGAACCTATCATCTGATTAATTGTGAATCCTACCCTCTGAGATTCGACTAGAAGAATTATGAATGCGTTCATCAGTCGGGCAACGAAAACAACCACTTGCCGCAATCACCTGTCGTACTTTCCTATATAACGTTGTTCTTGAAGAGCCTTTACGAGCAACACGAACGAATTTCAAGCTTGAAATGAAAAATATTTCTTACGGTTTTGTTCACGTAAACACGCCAGGAATAAAGCATATTAAGGCACAACAAAACTCACTCTCGGCCGCACGTGAGGGACAAGCGGAACGCAAAGCTTCCCGCTAGCGACTGCGCCGCACACCAAAACAAAACCACTTAAATCGGTCAACAGTTTGCATTTAGTAGGCACCCGGAAATGTAGGGTATTGTTTTTTATTACTGTGAGACAAATAAAGAAGTTTCGATGCTTATTAAACGTCTCAATCTGCCGCGGCTTTAAGGCCGACAATTAGTGCAGAAGTTCTGCACAGATTCCACGCAGGTTCTGCACCCAGGAGCCGACGCGTGCTAACTGGGTATTTTAAAGAGAACAATTATTAGTGGGTCTGTTCCATCTGACCTCTTTATTATTGTATACTCAATCCAGCGTTATTATTATTATTATTATTATTATTATTATTATTCCTTTGCCACACACTCCCCTTAAAGTAACTTATTGGGTAGCCAGACCATTACAATTGAGAATATATTGAACACTGACGTGGCGTCATGTGCAACCGGGGACGGGTTGCTTAGAAAGCCCACGTTAAGAGCTCCAGGTGAACCATGAAATTATATTTAAAGGAGAACTCATCTGTCAGGGCAATCGAGGAACAACCAATTAAATCTGTCCCAACGAAAATGGCTAATCCATGGCATACCTTTCTGCGTAGGCCAGCATTCTGATTGGTTAGCTGTGCACGAGCAAGTGAGCGCGCGCGTTCAAACTGCGCTTGTGCACAAGCCAGGAAAAAAACGAGTCAAATGGTTAAGGCGCATTAACTAAAGACAGATACCCTCCACCTTCCTATCTTCACAAAATGTGTTTGTGACTACCCACATAACTCCTTCCAATAAAAGTTTAGCATAGGCTCAAAAGTTGCTTTATTCTTCGGTAATTCGATTCATACATATCCATGCATATATGCATGCCGAAACTTTTCGCACTCAGAACATTAAGTTGTCCTCATCTTGGTTATTTACGTTTTATGCTTACAAGATTGCAATCAACAGAGGGGGCGAGATGGCCCAAGTGGTTTGAGCGCGAATTTACTGACCGGAAGGTTCGTGGTTCGAATCCGACCTCCGCCACTCGACTTCCCTGTCTAGGCTTGGGCAACCTGGCAGTATCCCAGCCCTCGTGC